GGGTGGATTCTCTAAATTTGTACATCTTGTTTTTCTTTTAAGCTACTTCAATTCTGCTTTGCTCATAGAGCACAACACCTTCTCTGATGAAGGCACACCATGCTGGGTGGTCATTTATCAGCATCTCCCATGTCACAAAATCAATCTCAAAGTTGGTCAGAGAGACCTTGAGAGTGTCCTTGTATCACTTCTTCTGACCACCATGTGAATGCTTGCCTTTGTGAGTTTTCCATAATAGTTTTTTAGGCAAGCATACATTTGGCATTTGAACAACATGGCCGGCGCATTGGAGTTGTGATCTCTGTAGTAGAATTTGAATGCTTGGCAGTTTAGTTCAAGAAAGGACATCAGTGATTATCCTACCCAGGTGATTTTCAGAATCTTCTTGAGACAATTCAAATGGAAGTGATTCAGCTTCCTGGCATGGTGCTGGTATACTGTCCAGGTTTCACAGGCATGCAACAATGAGGTCAGCACAACAGTTCTGTAGACCATCAGTTTGATAGTCAGTCTAATACCTCTTCTCTCCCATACTTTCTTTTGGAGCCTCACAAACACTGAGCTAGCTCTGGCAATGCATGTGTCAACCTCATTGTCAATGTATATCTTCCTGGAAAGTACACTGCCTAGGTAAGCGAACTTATTCACAATATTCAGAACATCTCCATTTGCTGTAACTGATGGTTCCACATACGGATGGTGCAAAAGAGTATTGATCCATACTTTGTTGTATCCAGCTTCAGAGGCTACATTGAGTGCACAATCATCTGCAAACAAAAAATCATGCACCAAAAATCCCTCCATTTTAGTCTTGGCTTGTAGCCTTTTCAAGTTGAAGAATTTTCCATCAGTGTGATAGCTGACCTTGATGTCATGCTTGTCCTCATTGAAGGCATTCGACAACATGGCTGAAAACATCATGCTAAAAAACATGGAAGCAAGCACAGAGCCTTGTTTCCCCTCATTGGTACCTGAGAAAGCACAAGAGCATTGTCCATTATCCAGAACCTGGGCAAGCATGCCATCATGAAACTGATGTACGATACTGATGAACCTCTCTTGGCAACCAAATTTTGACATAATTTTCCACAAGCACTGATGACTGACAGTATCAGAGGCCTTGGTTCAGATCTACAAATGTGTACAAATTCTGCTGGACTTGTCAGGCATCAAACACCGTATTGACCATTTCTCAGCCCTTTCTGAAGCCATACGGACTCTCAGGTAGATGACTATCTTCCAGGTGAAGGATAAGCCTATTAAGAAGGACTCTGGCAAGAATCTTACCAGTAATGACTAAGAGAGAGACACCCCTGTGATTGTCACACGATAATCTATTTCCTTTACCTATATAGAGATGGACAATGGAGACATCCTTGAACTCCTGAGGGATAACATCCTCTTGCCATATAACCCAGAAAATTTCAGTCAGCTTTTGTATGAGCAATGGACCCCCCGACCTTGTAAATCTCAGCTGGAATAGAATCAGCACCAGGTGCTTTGCCACATGAAAGGAGACTAATGGCATTCAGAACCTCTTCTTCAGTTGGAACTTCAGCTAGGGAAGGACTGACTTCAACCTATGGTAAACACTCAATGACTTCAGCATTGATTGATGATAATCTGTTCAGAACACTATGGAATTGTTCAGCCCATCTCTCTAGGATCATGTCCTTACCAACAATCAATGTGCCTCCATCAGTACTGAGTAGTTGAGATGCACCATAGATCTTTGGCCCATAAATACCCTTCAGGGCATCATAAACCACTTTGGATTGTCACTATCAGCATAAAACTAAATTCCATCTACCTTTCTACTGAGCCAAGAATCCTGCATTTCTCTAGGCTTCACTTGCACTTTACTTTTGATGGAATTAAATGCTGCCTTCTTAGAGATGGATGAACTGTTCTGCTGGTAAATCCTGTTGAGTTCTCATTTTTTCATTTAGCAGCTTCTGAATTTCCCCATCATTTTCATCAAACCAGTCTTGATGTTTGCAAGTGTTCTGACCCAAATGAACAAATGCAGTGCTGTACACTAAATCTCTGAAATCTGCCCACTCCTTTTCTGCTCCCCTGTTGCCAGCTGTGTGTTGGCTCAACTTTCCCTCCAAGTTAGCGGCGAATTGTTCCTACTCAGAGAAGTACTCTAATCTGTTGACATTAATTTTTCTGGTAGTCTTTTTGCCTTTGGGCCACCACTTTTGTTGAGTTTGAATATTTAGCTTGGAGAGGATAAGTCTATGGTCAGTCCAGCACTCTGCACCACGTGTTGCCTTTGTCATTCTCACATCCTATCTGTAAAATGCCAATGTTTGCTGCGAGGGCTCATCCATGAAGTTTTATGGCATTTGGGTAAATGGAAGACAGTGTTGATGATGAGAAGATAATGAGATGTACAAGTCTTCAGTAGTAAGTGGCCATTGCTGTACTGTTGCTCTTTCCAGCTCCATTCCTCCCAAGGACTCCCTGCCATGTCCAATACTCTGATTCTACTCTAGCATTAAAGTCACCCAGAATTATAAGCTCATGTCTAATGTGTACAAACATTTCCATGCCCTGCTTTACCTTGCCATCCCATCAGTCTACAATTCTTTATCCCTCTCTAGCCATTTCACTGCTAAATTCCTGGGAAAAGTAATTTATATTTGCTTAATCACTCCTCAATCCATTGGAATAAGACTTCTAATATCATTATTCTACTGAAAGTGCTCTTAAAGGTCACCAGTGACTTTTTATTGTCAAAACCACCATCCTTTTCTTGGCCCTCATCCACCCTTGATATTTTCCAATTTTCTACACCACTGGCAATTCACTCCTCTTATATACTTTTCCTTGCATGAGCCTCTATGATACCGTTCTCTTCTGATTTTCCTCCAATCTGCCCAATCGAGCCTTCTTAATCTCCTTTGATCTTTCACCATCCCCCTCCTGTCCCCTAAATGTCGTGATGTTGCATTGCTCTGTCCTACACCCTCTCCTTTCCTCCTTCAATCTACGGGTTCAATGATCACTTCTCTGCAAATGACTCTTATCTAAACATCAATCGACTAGGTGCTTCATTAGAACCTCAAACTAAATATCCCATATGAATTTATCACCTCCCCCATCACCACCTCAACATCTCTGTTTCTGTTGACCCCATTATCTTCCCAAACACCCAGACTTCACAGCTCAGAATCAATCACCTTTGACTCTTCCCTCTCCCTCAAACATTTCCATGAAATTTCTCCAATCTATTCCCTTCTTTCTATTCACACAGCCACTATGCTCATTCAGAAACTTTCATCACCTCTTGCCTGGACTATTGTAATAGCCTTCTAATTGGTCTCTCTGACTCCTTTCTCCTCTCCAATCTGTCCCTCTTGACCTGCCAGAATAATTTCACTGATTTATGATTATGACCATGGCATTCCCCTAATCAAAACCCTACTATAGCTCCACATTTCTGACATGATTATAAAACACAAATTTCTTCTCTTGCTACTGAAGGTGCTCCCTAATCTGATTCTGATCTGGTTTAGTAGTCTAAGTTTATTTTATTCTGCTTGCACTCTTCCTGTAAAACTAGCATTTGAGCTGGGTCTTAAAAGAAGCCAGGGTTTCTGAAAGGGAGAGCATTCCAGTGCTCTCTATATAAATATAGCTTCAAATAGATATCTCTTGATAATTACACACATTTAGTTAATGTGGAGGCTTATCTAAAAGAAGGTTAGGGAGAAATATGGGAGTCAGCCCATCTTACTGTTAGTTTCCCTTCAGAGATTAGCATGTGTTCTCATCTGATTCTCAAATGTTTTTGTTAGAAAGAACATTCATTGTGGTTCCTCCTATTGGTTCTAATGCTTCTTTACAACATGACTAATGTGAAAATATGTTTAATAGGAATGTATATCTAGAGCCTATGTCAGATTGCATGCCATCTTGGGGAAGGAGGCAGGGAGGGAGGGGGAGAAAATTTAAATCTCAAAAGCTCGTGGAAGTGAATATTGAAAACTAAAAATAAATTAATAAAAAAACCCAAAAAATAAATAAAAAATAAAAGAATGTCCAGCTGCTATTCAACTGGGGAATGGCTGAGTAAGATGTGGTATATGAGTGTAATGGAATACTATTTTGCTGTAATGATGAGCAGGCAGATTTCAGAAAAACCTGGAAAGACCTATATGAACTGATGCTGAGTGAAATGAGCAGAACCAGGAGAACATTGAACACAGTAACAGTAACACTACGTGATGATCAGCTTTGCTTGACTTAGCTCTTCTCAGCAATGCAATGATGCAAGACAATTCCAAAAGACTCGTGATGGAAAATGCTATCCATATCCAGAGAAAGAACCATGGAGTTTGAATGCAGACCAAAGCAAGCTATTTTCACTTTTTTTGTCTTCTTTTCATGGCTTTTACATTTTGTTCTGTTTCTTCTTTCACGACATGACTAATGCAAAATATGTTGTACGTGATTGCACATGTATAACCTATATCAGATTTGTTGATGTCTTGAGGAGGGGGAGGGAAAGAAAAAAAATTTGGAACTCAAAATCTTTCCAAAAATGAATGTCGAAAATTGTCTCTACACATAATTGGGGAAATTAAATGCTTTTAAATTAAAATAAAAGAAAGAACATCCTGTATACCACCACTTTTTTCCTAGAGATCTCTCCATCCTACTCAACATGAGAAAAATTCCCTATTTTCAGCTACTATAGGCACTTAACAGAGACCAACCATCTGTTTGTTTCCTTCTTCTACCTCAGGTTCTACCCCAGAGGAGCAACACATCTGTACTTCCTGTTAGCAGACACATACCAAGGAACACACACTTCTTAAGCAGGAGAGAAGGCAACTATCCCCCAGTGCCAGGTCTTATGGTCTAGTACACCAGTTGGCTTTCTGTACCCTCATCCTGCCAGCCATGGTTTGGGCTACTATATGGCAATAACAGGATTGAATGAGTTTTATTTCCCTTATGTTGTTTCTGTTTTCTTTCTTGGCCTTCAGTGTTACAGGAAATTGAAGAAGAAAGGGTCCCTCCCTCCGAAGTATGCCATAGAACTTCTGACAGTCTATGCCTGGGAGCAAGGTAGTGGAATGACAGATTTTGACACAGCTGAAGGCTTCCTGACGGTCCTGAAATTAATTATGCAGTACCAAAAGCTCTGCGTCTACTGGACAGTCAACTATGATTTTCAGAATGAAATCATCAGGAATTTCCTATTGAAACAGCTCAAGAAACCCAGGTATCCATTGCAAACAAGCACATTCCTCTTCCCTGACCCGTAAACCCATTGTCAGTGACTCAGACTCCCAAGCCCTTTGAAGTGATGACACCCCATGTGAGTTTGGAATTTAAAAAAAAAGCCAGGAGTGGCCCACAAAAGGAAAAGACAATGCCACCTCATGAAGGAAGAACCCAAGAATATCCCGTATGGGTTATACAGAATAATGTCAGTGTGGTGATGAGCAAGCAGCTAGACAGATAAGTGGGGCCCTAGATATTCTCCACTGATCTCTCCAGGCTAGAAATAACCCAAAGTTTAGAATCAGAAGAGGCCTAAGGGACTTTAGGTCACAAGGAGGAAAGCTAAAGGTCTGTCTTCTAAGACTCAGAGTTTTCACAGAGCTACAAAATCATTCAGATTAACCTCTTTTGCCCATGGTTCTACCTTTCCCTTTACCAGAGTGAAAGGAAACAGTAGGGCAAGAAAGGAATTAAGACGAGAAAAGGGAGTAGAAGAAACAAAGAAAAATGCCAATGGTTTCCCACTCCCATGTCCTGAACTGTTACATAGCAGCATTAAGATAGTTTATTTTGATTTATCTACATTTTATTAATATGTATTAATAGTGCTTTATTAATTTTTATTTCATTAATATTATTTTCATAGAAATATGTGATTCTTGTCTTACATCGAAACCCTTTCAACTTCCCTATTTCTGTCTAAGGCATCCCTGTACTTCTAGTCTACCAAGGTCATAATCTCAGTATAATCATGGACTCCTCCCTCTCCCTCTCCACACACATCCAATCTGTTGCCACATCTCTTGCTGTTACTTTCTGCACAACATCTCTCACATCCAATTCCTCCTGTATCCTCATACAGCTAGCCTCATTGCCTTTCACCTAGGTTATCGCACATGCCTCCATATTGGTATCCCTGACAGCGAGTCTTTATCCACTCCAGTCCATCCTCCATACTGCTGTGGGAGTGACTTTTCTTGAGTCCAGATTGGACTATGTCACTCTCCAACTCACTCAACTTCAGTGGCTTTCTGTTGCCCCTGGTATCAAATAGAAATTCCTCTGTTTAGCTTTTAAAGACCTTCACAAAGTGGTCCCAAACTATCTTTCCAGTCTTGTTGAACATTCTTCCCTCTCTCACATTTGGATATCCAGCCAAACTGGTCTCTCCATTTCTGGCACACAACACTCCAGTCTCCCATCTTGGCCTTTGCACTGACTGTTCTCTGTATGTGAAGTGCACTCTCTCCTAATGTCCACCTCAAAAAATCCCTTTCTTCCTTGAATATATAACTTGAGTACCACCTTCCACTGGAAGTCTTTCATGATCCCTCCAGCTACTGGCTCCCTCCCTCTCAAACCATCTTATATTGAACTACTTTGGATTGATTTGCATTTCAGTCACTGAGAAGCATTTAATAAGGGCTTACTATGGAACACATTGAGAATACAAATACAAGTAGAAAGACAATCTCCATCCTGAAAGAAAGGGAAAGGGTGTGGGGGAGACAGAGATAGAGAGAGGAAGGAAAGAGAGACAGACAGAGAAAAGGAAATGATAGGGAAAGAGAGAAGGAGGGAGGAGAAGGAGAGAGAGAGACAGAGACAAAGATATAGAGAGACAGAGAGAAAGGGAGAGAGGGAGATGGAGAGAGAGAGAGAGAGAGAGAGAGAGAGAGAGAGAGAGAGAGAGAGAGAGAGACAGAGAGACAGAGAGAGAGAGAGAGAAGGTGCATACTTTTCCAAGTGTGAATTCCTGGACTGGAGCAGAGCTTTGGGATGGTAGAGAAAGTCTGGAGTGTAGCCTGGAGAAGAATGATTTGTCTTTATGTCTATTCTGGCTGTACTTATGTGTGTCCTCATTGTAATCTAAGCTGTCTGTGAGTAGGGATCATTTCACTGATTTTATTTGCATCCTCAACATCCAGCACAGTGGAACTTAATTAATGATTCATTGTTTGATCCTCTACTTTGCTGATCTTTCCCATTGGACCACTGCCACTTCCTAATTGGCCTTCCTGACTCAATTCTCTTCCTATCCCAATTCTTCATGCTGTTGCCTTCACACAATCGTTTTTTTTTTAAAAGCAACATCTCACTATGTCATTTCTCTACTCAATAAATTCTAATGGTCCCCTATTAGCTTTAGGATTAAATATAAACTTCATTGTTAGGCATTGAAAGTCTTTTACAACCAAACTTGAACCTTTATTTCTAGCCTTACTATACATTTCTCCCCTTCATGCACTCTATAGTTCATCAAAACTAGCCTTCAGGGGCAGCTAGGTGGTGCAGTAGATAGAGTACCAGCCCTAAAGTCAGGAGCACCTGAGTTCAAATCCAGCCTCAGACCAAAACATTTAACACTTACTAGCTGTGTGACCTTGGGCAAGTCACTTAACCCCAATTGCCTAAAAAACAAAACAAAAAACTAGCCTTCATTTTACTGTTCTTTGTATATATCTCACCACCTCCCACCTCTGTGACTTTACCCTGACAGTTCCCCATGCCTGGAATGTCATCGCTTCTTACCTCCACCTCTCAGAATCCCAAGTTTCCTTCAAGATTCAGATCAAATGTCAACTTCCACATAAGGCCTTTCCTAGGCAACCCTCTCTCCTAGCTGCATGTACCTACTCCCCAAAGTTTCCTTATATTTAATTCGTAGATCTTTTGTACGACCTGTATATGTAAATATTGTCTCCCCCAATTGATTATAAGCTGCTGGAGGGCAAGGATTGTTTCCATTCTGTTTTTGAATAAGTATGTAAGACATAGCATAGTCCATGACAGATAGTAGGTGCTTGACAAATGATTGCTAATCGACTAACTTATCGGTTATTTAGGCCTGTGATCCTGGATCCAGCTGACCCCACAGCAGACGTTGGTGGAGGAAACCATTGGTGCTGGCACCTCTTGGCCCATGAAGCTGAAATCTGGTCATCTTCTCTGTGCTTCAAGACAGGGATCTATGATGCTGTAGAGCCCTGGCCAGTGTTGGTGAGAGCTTCTGCAGTGCTGGGATAGTGCCCTAGTAATCCTAGTGACAGCACACATTGAGATAACACCTCTAGGTTTGCAGTGCTCCTTATATACCCAGTCACACAACCCAAGCAGGCAAGGACTGATGGTATTATTATTATCTTCACTTTTACAGATTGAAAAGAGGCCAAGAGTCACAGAATAACTTGCTTATGGCCACAGAGCAAATATGTGTCAAAGGCAGGATTAGAACCCATGCCTCTCCTGACTCCATATCTAGGGCTCTTTCCACCATACCACACCTGTCTTTGACCAGAGGTGTCTGGTTTGTCATGGTTTATCATGTTTGTCATTCAAAGCCCTTCATCACCTGGCCCCCTCTTACCTTTCCAGTATTCCTACACCTTCCTCCCCAACACATACTCATCCATCCAGTGACATTAGCCTCCTAGATGTTCCATGAACAAGACACTCCATCTCTCACCTCCAGCATTCTCTCTGGCTGCCCCTCACCTGCCTGGAATGCTTTTACTCCTTATCTCCACTTAATGAGTAACTTGGCTTCCTCTAAGTCCCAATTAAACCTCCTACAGGAAGCCTTTCCCAGCCCCTCTTAATTCCAATGCCTTCCCTCTATTAATGATTTCCTATTTATTCTGGATATAACTCACTTTGTATACATTTTGTTTGCATGTTGTCTCCCCTAGTAGATTGTAAGCTCCTTCAGAGCAGGATCTGTCTTTTGCCTCTTTTTTTGTATCCCCAGTGCTTAGCACAGTGCCTGGCAGATAACAGGTGCTTATTTATCGAATAGAATTAACTTCTATAAAATCTGACCTTCAGGAACTCCCCGAACTTTAGTATTTTATCTCCTCAAAACTATTCCTTTTTTAGAGCATAACTTCCATCCCTCTCAAGGAAGACTTGTTTATTTAACTAGTTACTCAGATGAGACCCTATAAACATCCGTAAGCCAAAAAGACCTTCTCTGATGCAACAAAACCACCTCCATTTTCTGGTAGTCTTGGGAAATCTTTACTCCTTATAAATACGGTGTTTACCTGAAACAAACTTTGCCATATTGTAACATGGAAAATGTCTTCAATCTGTATTCAAGAGGACCTCTATTTGAAACCTGGTTGGTTTAACCTTTGGCAAGTGTGAAGACTTCAATTTTCTCATTTGTAAAATGAGGGGGTGAGAGTGGGTAGATGACATCTGAGGACCCTTTCAGCTCCAAATCTAGGATCCTAATTCTAAGACAATGATCTGCTTCTTTTCAGACAGTCCAGACTCCAGGAAGCAATGGTCTTGGGCTTTCTCCTATTGTCAACCTAACATTCAGCAATTACTACTGGAACATCCTTCATACCTAAAAGCTGAAGGTACCTCAAAGATACAACCTAGCTCCTGTCCCCCACCACTTACCTTTCAAAAAAATATCAAATATTAGATCAAATCAAATGGGCTCAATGTCAGTCCTCATTCTCACTACATAGTTTGGGACAGTGTTTGATAATCTACTTCTCAAAACTCTCCTTCCATTGCTTTTGTGACTTTCCTTATTCTCCACTTATTTCTCTCATTAGTCATATCACCTTTACAGATCCTCTTCTTCATACTGGTCGAGGATCTCTGTCAAGACTCTGTCTTTTTTTTTTTTGCTACACAATGGGGTTAAGTGACTTACCCAGGGTCACACAGCTAGTAAGTGTCAAGTGTCTGAAGCCGGATTTGAACTCAGGTCCTCCTGACAGCTGGTGCTCTATTCACGATGCCAACTCGCTGCCTCATCTGTCCTTCTTCCCAGATCTTCTTCCTCATACTGGTGAGGATCTCCCTCAAGACTCTGTCCTTCATTCTTCTGGTCTTTACTCTCTATACTCAAAGCCCTCCCTAAGTATATCATCTCTCCATGGTGGCCTCTAAGCTCTTTTTGCCTTTGCTCCTGCTGTTTTGTTTGCTGGGGGGGAGGGGGGGAAATACTCTTCCCATGGCACAGAGCAAGGAGCTGACTTAGTGGTTCGATAGCCCAGGTTCAAATTCTGTCTCTGATGTTTGCTGCCTCTGTGACCTTGGGCAAGTTGCTGGTTCTACAAAATTAAGGGGTTGCATTAGGGGGCTTCTGAGGTCCCATCCAGCATTAAATATAGGATCCTATGATCCTCTATCTTCACCTGTGGGAACACAGACTCCAAGACCCAATTCCAACATCCTCTGCCTACTGAAGTCTTTTCCTGATTCTCCTCTCCAGCAACCACCACCCCAAAGCAATCATAGGCTTGTAAGAACTAGAGGGGGGGAAGTCCCTTAAAGACCATACAGTTGAATCCCTTCCTTTTAAAAATAGGAAACTGGGTTCCAAAGAGCTTAAGAGGTTCATCGAATCATATACAAAACCCAAAGCAGGTTCCGATTGCTTAGGCAGCATTCAAACTCAGGTCCTCTGACTCTAAACTCTCTGCTCTGTCCTCTCCTCCACAAAGCCCATTCTCCTTTTCCTCTGGACTTTGCACTTCTCATGCCATGAGAAAAATCTCCTACTTAGTGGTATTTTTAAAAATTAATCTATTTTGAATTGTCAACAATCACTTCCATAAACTTTTGAGTTTTAAATTTTTCTCCCCCTCCATCCCCACTTCTCTCCCCAAGACGGTGTGCAATCTGATATAGGCTATACATATACATTCCTATTAAGCGTATTTTCACATTAGTGATGTTGTTAGTAAGAATTAGAACCAATAGGAGGAACCAACAGAAAGAGGAAACAAAACACAACAGAAGAAAAAAAATAGCAAGTCTACTTAGTGGTATTAAGGAAATTCTTGCTTCGTTTACTAGACTGAAGCCTCCTGAGGGCTCTCTGCTCTCATTTTCCTTCCTAAAGTTTGCCCTGTCCCTGACTTTATTTTTCTGGAACTCTGGCTAATCTACCCCACTGTATTCTGAGAAGATCTGATGCAGCTTCTGTGATGCTGCTGCCGCTGCTGCCATGTTGTCAAAAAAAAATTAAAACTATGTAAGCAGGAGTGGTGCCTCCAAAGATTTTAACCTCCATAATTCAGAATGTTTGAATTTGTTCGGAACAATTCATCAAGGTAAATTTTTTCGATGTTGAATTATAAAACTGAATAATAAAAGAATAATGATAAGAAAAAGATATGGCTCATAACTGAAGCAATTCAGTCCTGACTTAAGGAAATTACTGAAAAAGAAAAATAGATAACATGTAATAGAAATGACATCAACCCTGAATTTAATCAATTTATCCTGAAGCTTAGCCAGTGTTAATCAATTGCTATAACAGTCAGATCCAAAAGAGCCCAGAGAGTGCCTTGGTCAAGTCAGTAAGCATTTAAGTGCCTACTAAGTGCTAGGCACTGTGTGCTAAGTGCTAAGGATACAAAGAACATGGGACTTTACCTGAGAATTGAAGGAAGCCAGGAGAGCCAGGAGGCAGAGATAAGGAGGGAGAGAATTCCAGGCCTGGGGGACAGCCAGAGAAAATGCACAGTCAGGAGATGGAGGGTCTTTTTTGAGGAACAGCCAGGAGGCTGGTGTCAATGGGTCATACAGTACATGGAGGATGCTGGTCAGTAAACATCTGACTTACTTGCCAATCAAAGAGATGATGGCCACTGACAATACCAGGTTAGAATACAAATGCATTTGCAAAATCTTGCAAAGAAAGATGATGGAGAATTATGAAAAAATATCATTACACAAATCAGAGAGAAACAATGGAGGGCTGAACCAGTTTAAATAATTTGACAAGAAACTCAACCAACAAAGTCATCCCATGACTATTCAAGTATGAAAATCAAAGGAAGACAACAAACAAGTGGAAAGGGGAGGGGGAAATTTTTAAGATTTTTTAAAGACCTCATATTTATAGACTTTTAAAAAAAATCAGTAAACAAGAAGCTGTGTGCAGTAGCGGATAGAGCGCTAGCCTCTCAGGTAGGAAGATCTGGGTTGAAGTCTCGCCTCTGACACATGCTGCCTTTGTGGCCCTGGGCAAGTCATTTCATGTCTCAGGGCCCTTCAAGCAATTTCTAAGGCTTAAGTTGCAGAGCAGGAGTTGATATGCATTGAAAAAGGAGTTTCCTCACCAGGATTCCCTATACTTATGAAATCACAGGTGAGGTCTAAAGAAAAACCTTATGGTTTCACATCACCTTCATTTCCAAGTATTTCTCTCCCTTGTTCCCTACACAAGATATGTAACAAAGATTTTTGAAGAAGGAAAAATCCTGTCAGCAAAATCAAGGAATAGGGGCAGCTAGCTGGCACAGTGGATAGAGCAATGGCCCTGGAGTCAGGAGGACCTGAGTTCAAATCCAGCCTCAGACCAAACACTTGACACTTACTAGCTGTGTGACCCTGGGTAAGTCACTTAACCCTAATTGCCTAAAGAGAAAACAAAACCAAAAACGAAAGTAAAACAAGGGACACATCAGCTTTGTCAGACAACATATGAAATCTTCCACACCCCTAGACCTCCCCACACGCAAAGAAGGGAGAGAGGTAGATGTTCCCAATTTTTCCCTGGGGCCAAATCTCATCTTTGCATTATGTTCATAGCGTTCAATTTCTTTTTTATTGCTTTTCCCCTTTACATTATTTGAATGACTATGTGCATTGTTTTCTTACTGACGGAATGCTGCATCAGTTCACATCAGTGTCCCCAGGTTTCACTGAAGTATTCGTATTTGTCATTTCTTGTTGTTTGGTCATTTTTAGACATGTCCAATTCTTCATGACCTTATTTGGGGTGTTCTTGGCAAAGTTCTTGGCCAGCTCATTTTACAGATGAGGAAACTGAGGCCAATGGGGGAAGTGAATTGCCCAGGGTCACACTGCTAGTAAGTGTCTGAGACCAGATTTGAGCTCAGGAAGATGAATCTTTCAGAATCCAGGCCTGGCACTCTATCCACTGTGCCACCTAGCTGCCCTTTTGTCATTTCTTACAACTCAGTAATATTCTGTTAACATTCAAATGAGAAAGATTTGTGAGTTTTAGTGACCTCAACAGTCATACATAACATCAAAATCCCTAATGCCAACTGAAACTGTCTTTAAAAAACAGCGTCCACTACCTACTTTGGAGGTGCCACAATGTCGTCCTCTGCCCTGCTTAGACCATGTCTAAAGAACTGTGGCTGCCTCATTTGCGAAATGCTATAGAAAAGTCAGGGAGGAGGAGTGATCATCGTGGCGAAAGGCCTTGAGAAGGTTATGCCACATGAAGAGCAGCTGAAGAAACAGGAAGAAAGCTTTGAGGGGTATGGGAAGGGATAAGATGGGGTGGGGTGGGGTGGGGTGGTATGGAATGAGATAGGATGATGCAGGATGGTGTGGGATGGGATGAGATGGAATGGGATGGGATGGAGTAGAATGGGATAGGGTGAGGTAGGATGGTGTGAGACAGGATAGGATGAGGTAGTATGGTGTGGGATGGGATGAGATGGGACGAGACAACCATCTTTAAGTAACTACAGGGCTATTATCACATGGAAAGAAGGTTGTATTTAATCTGCTTGGGCCATGAAGTAAGGACTAGGATAAATGGGTGGAAGTTGCAAGAGGCAAACTTAGACTTTATGGCAGGAAGAACTCCCTCTTTATGAGGGCTGCTGAGTGTAGGATGGGCAACCCCATAAAGCAATGGACTCCACTTCACTGGAGAGCTTCAAGCAAAGGGTTGGGTGGTGCAGAGGGGATTCTTTCTCAGGTATAATCTAGTCTAACTGATTAGAATGATTTGCTTTAAATTTTGAGATAGGAAGACAATAAAAAATTTCAAATATTATAAAAATAAAATGTTAATTGGTATGGAGCAAATAAATACAAGTAAAATGGAAGAAAAGTGGGTGGGAGGGAAGGCAGTGTGAGAGGGAAGTACCAGGAAAGCTTCTACCCCAGTTGGACAATGGGTTGTATAAACCAAGAGATACATTAATGGTTTCTTATATTCTTAGATAATTTTTCCAAAGACTAATAAATATAGAAGAATCACTATTAACTGGCATATTCATTGCCCCAAAATAAAGGCTGCTAATGGTTTTCACTATTAAGTAAGCTATCATTCCCTGTGTAGAGCTTCTAATCCTAGAGTAAAGGGGCCATAGCCCCTGGTCCCAAGAGGTGACCCTTCTAAACACTGGCTAGGTGTTTGGGATTGGCTAGGATTGGAGGCTAACCAGAGCAACCTCCAGTTTTTGCCATTAGAAAACGTATAAGGACATACTTACATTAAGAATATCCTAAAAACAAACAATCAAACAAGTGATTTAAAGAACAAATCGTAGAAACAATTGACAGTTTCATTAAAGAAAATGACAACAATGAGCCAACATACCAAAAATTATGGGATGCAGCCAAAGCAGTACTTACAGGAAAATTCATTCTTCTAATCACTTCTATCAATAAAATAGAGAAAAAGCAGATCAATGAATTGGGTATGCAATCAAAAAAAAAACCAAACAAATTAAAAATCCCCAATTAAACAGCAAATTGGAAATCCTGAAAATCAAAGGAAAGATTAATAAAATTGAAAGCAATAAAATCATTGAACTAATAAATAAAACTAGAAGCTGGTTGAAAAAGAAACAATAAAATAAATTAAACCATTGGTTAATTTGATTTAAAAATGGAAAGAAGAAAACCAAATTACTAGCATCAAAAATGAAAGAAGTAAGTTCACCACCAATGAAGAGTAAATTAAGACAATTGTTAGGAGCTATTTTGCCCAATTAAATGCCAATAAATTTGAAATCTAAATTAAGTGGATGAATGGGTACAAAAATATAAGTTGTCCAGATTAACAGAAGAAAGCAAATCCTTAAATAAATAAATAAAATCCTTAAATAAATAAAATAAATAAAAAGAAATTGAACACGCCATCAATGAATTTCCCAAGAAAAAATTCCCAGCACCAGATAGATGGATTCACAAGAGAATTATACCAAACATTTAAAGAACAATTAATCCCAATACTATATAAACTATTTGGAAAAATAGATGAAGAAGGAGTCCCAACAAATTCCTTTTACAACACAAATACGGTACTGATACCGAAACCAAGAAAAGCCAAAACAGAGAAAGAAACTTATAGACCAATTTCCCTAATGAATATTGATGCAAAAATTTTAAATAAAATACTAGCAAAGAGATTACAGCAATATATCACAAGGATTATACACTATGACCAGGTGCAATTTATACCAGGAATGCTGGGCTGGTTCAATATTAGGAAAATTATCTGCATAACTGGCCACATCAATAATAAAACCAACAGAAATCATATGATTATCTGAATAGATGCAGAAAAAGCCTTTGACAAAATACAGCATCCATTCTTTGGGAAAACACTAGAGAGCATAGGAATAAATGGAGA